AATAGCCGAAGGCAAAAAGGGAGAGATAGGGAAGATGAGATGTTGGATAGTCACTCCACTCCATAGATAGTGCACACAGATTCCTCTTTCATTTTCAATTCCTTTCGGGTCGGAAACGCGGGCTGCTGGTGGGGCTGTGCCCATTCTCCCTCTTCTTCCCCATTACAACCGGTTCCGACCGACAGCTAATCAATTCATATGGGCTGATACCATGGTCAAGTAGCGTGGCTGAGCTGATTACAGGGGTCCACAAGATGAATGGAAATAACACAATTTTGGGGGTTTTGAAAGGAAATAACGCTGTTTTTGGGGGTTGGTTGTCAATGGCGACCGGAAAAAAGTCAAGAAAATTGTTTGATGATTAAGAGCGGGGCGACGGTGCACTGGTCGGGGGAATTGGGTCCGGGAAATCGACGGCGATAGAATGGTGGGGTTGATGAATTGGGTCCTCTATTTCCATGTGGCTGAGTAGTTCTCTATTTCCGTTTGGGGGCGAATCAGAGTCGGCGGGGCGGTGGGCTGAAGGACGAAGAGTAATTTTGGGTTTTGGTGGTGGTGATGTGAAGAAGATGAAATCTTTTTCCCTTTTTTTTTTTTAAGAATTATTTATATTTATTAAAAAAATGAAGAAAATAGTAATATTAGGAAAAGACCAATTTATCCCAACTCAAAACATGTGCTTGTCACGTGTTGTGGATTCCGATCACTCTTTGCTAAAAATAGACAATTTTTGTTCCGATGCCACAGATTAGTAAGTTCAGGTATGCTCGTGCAACTTTTTTCCGTTCAGGGGGTAAAGTGCAAAAACGTCCAAAGTTTAGGGGATTTTTTGCAGTTAACTCTTTATTATTTGATTTGTTTATATAAGAGAGAGAAAGTAGAGAGAGAAAGTATAGAGAGAGAGAGAGGGGGGGAGGAGACGAGGAGTTGCCCTAGGACTAGGAAAGGTAAATTACAAAAACCCCCTGATGTATGGTCAATTTATAAACAAACCCCTCTTGTTTGAATAATTACATCTCCACCCTTATGGTGTCAAATTCAACATAATCATCTAGATTTCGTGGAATGTGCTCTAGTTTGTACTCGTTTTGTGTAAAAGTACAGTTTCTGATGCACCACAATCTGATATATCCAAGCCAAAAAATACATATTATGATCATCTTTTTTCAAAATGTAGAGTTCGAATAGGATAAAACGGGTACAAAAGTGATAATATTTCATATAATCTCGAAGATTCCACTAAATTTGAGGAGTTGATGGGGTGGTTGTAATTATCCAAACAAAAGGGGGGTTTTGGTAATTTGACCATACCTCAGGGGTTGGTTGTAATTTACCTTTTTAAATTGGAAATTGACCTCTACTAATAAAGAACTATTTTCAATTTTCTAAAAATACAAATAAATATATAAATAAAAACTATTTTTGATTATATCAATGACTCAATTCGGGTAGTGTGATTATAAATTTTAATTAAAAAATAAATTAAAATTGAGTTCTTTAATTGAAGTGGTTAACGTACGGCTGCATGCACGTACAAGATGCATGCAGGGTTGTTGTTTATTAAGTTTCCTTTTTTATTTTATTAATTATCTGAAAAAATATATTCAAAGATATCATGTAATTATGATATTTAATGGTACTATTAGACAACTTAATAATATACATAATAATATTAAGGGGCTCTTTGAGGAAACCCCCTCATTATTTTTTTTAATGGATATAGGTCAAAAATATTTCAGTCCATTTGAGAAAAGCCCACACTCATTTTGAGTCATTGTGTTTTCCAGCTTTGCCCCCGCCCGCCACATCAGCACTGGGTGCGTCAGCGGATTTTTTTGTTCTATTTTTTTTTTCTGTATCAGTTTCCTTAATCGACTATGAAGCATAGTCGATTAGCCTTAATCGACTATGCTTCATAGTCGATTAAGGAAAATCTTTAATTTTTTAATTTGTTTTTTTTTTGTTTTTTAATTTTTTTTCTATATCAGGTATATTAATTGACTATGATGAAACATAGTCAATTAATAAATCTGCTACTAAACATAACAAATAACAATTGCGAAAAAATGCAAAATCAATTATATTACAAAAAAATAAAAAAATACAAACATTATAATTGATTTATACAATTGTCAACAAACAAAAAATCATAAAAAAATCAAAAAATCAACCATAATCGATTATCAGAGCATAGTCAATTAGCTTAATCCACTATTGAACATGTAGTCGGCCTTCGCGAATTCTCTACCCGCACCGTCATCTGCCCGATCCACCAAAAAAACGTAGATCTGCCTCCCCATCGTCACCACACCACCGTCACACCATACCATCTACGCTTAACCAGTGTCGGCAGCGCCCTATGTAATCGCCTATCTCCGCCGGCAATACGAAATATTCCAAGCAAAGGCAGAAACAAACAAGTTTCTTACAAAAAGAAAGCAGTTCATTGAATCAATATTAATCCGACCGACGACAACATTTTGCTGTGTACGCAAAAGCGGCGGCCAAGAACCAAAATCCGATGATTTGCCGCCTGCTGATGCAAACCCGACCCTCCGCCACCGCCATCGCCACCGCCACCGCCACCGTATACACCAATAATATTCTTGTGAACATACGAACACACACACCTGTTAGTGTGTGGTAGTTGAAGCCTCTTATCCAACCTCTTCTTGGCTTCTCTATCTGCACTAAGCCTGCTCTCGTCATATACAACCTCTGTTGCCTTATTAATGGACTTCTCTGTTCATTTTCCCAATTCCATAAAAAAAACAGAAAAAAAAAAAAACAAAACACACACACACACACACACACACACACACACATATATATATACCGTGAAAGAATTAGAATGAAAGTAATCGGTGGTTGTGTAAGTACGTCAGGTTGAATATATGGAAGATAGGTCAGAGCCGCCGCCATAGCTGAGATTATTGTTGTGAAATTTTCTTCTTTTTGCACATTCAACTCTAAGGATAGTTTGGGAATTATTTAAATAGCATTTGGGTAGGATATTAGTTAAGGGGTTTTGTCTAATTATTTTTGGGAGGGGGTGTTTCCTTAACACATTTTTCTAGATGAGGGGTTATTGCTAATTTTTCCTAATATTAAAGGAAAAAAAAAAAAACAATCTTTACATATAAAAGAAAAAGAAAATCACTGAAATTGTCAGGACAACCTAAAAAATTAGTATATTTGTAATATTTTTTAACTTATATATGACTTTTATGTTTTTATCTCCTATTTTCCAGCCGTTTTTTTTAATTACTTATACTTGTAAATAAATAATATTTGTACATGCCTACTAAATATTTTCTAACTAATTTTGTTTATTAAGTATTTCTAGTACTAAATCTTTATTGTTTGAAGTTTGAACAAAAGCAAAATTATTTAATTTATGTTTTATAATTATTTATATTTATTTGATCTTATTTCAAAGGGCAAATTACGGCCACTTCTTAGGTATGGCCAAATTACGAAAAAACCCTCTTGTTTGGGTAATTACAGTCAACTCCCTCCTTTTAAATATTTTACATAAAATTTATGTAATTCGGTTATTTACCAAAGCAAATCGTATATTCAGTTCGATAAACGGTATGAAATGTTGGAGTACCGAAATTTTGGTTCGGTTTTACCGACGTAACAACGCTAAATTTACTACTAAAGGGATTTTTTCGTAAGATAATACATAGTTGAGAGGGTAGCTGAAATTACTCAAACAAGAGGAGGTTTTCGTAATTTTACCATAACTTACGGGGTTGGCTGTAATTTGCCCTAGCTCAAATAAGATAAAATTTTATTTTATTAATACATAAAATAAAACACATTTTGAATCGTAGTTACATTATTTGATTATTTTCAAGCAATGCAGACACTTATACTACCTAGTTAGTTTAACCAAATACATTATTTGATTTTTTTATATCAATATTTGTAAGTTAGTTGAACAACTTCTCATTAAAATATTCGGTACAGAGCAAATCCAATACTAGATATAAAAATTGAGTTATCAAATATTCATATGATAATTTGAAATAATATTTTAATACTAATTTAAAATTTATATATTATAATTTTTATAACTCAATTTCCATCAAATATATTTGCATTCGGTATCTCATTTACTAACTTCATTAAAGTTAAAAAAATATATTTCATAGTGTGCAAATACTGGTTAAATGTTTGAATACTCTTTGTAATATCAAATTTGAATTTTATATCTCTATTTATTTTTATTTTAATAACATGATTTAAATTTGAAAGATAAAATAATGCACATTTATTATATTTTATTATTTTAAAATCATATTTTTGAATTAGTCGCGAATATTTATGATAAAATATTAATTTATTTTCCTAAAAATACGTAGAGAGTTAAACCAAACAATACACGTGTATAACGGGGTTTTGTTACTACGGCCAATTATACACATTTTCCACTGTTTGCGGAAAGATCGCGTTGACCACATCAATGTCGGCGCCTATTCAGAAAAGAAATTGACGTCTGGCTATGGCGGAAGAGCTCAAGAAATTTGATTGATTGGCCACTGAAAAAAGAAAGGAGTCAAACATCAAATCAGCGGCGAATTTGCAGCGTAGCCGGTTAGCGGCGGCGGCGGCGGCGGTGGAGAATTTGTACGAAATTGCTTGGTGGGCTTTTTCTGTACTTCGTCTCCTCCAAGATTCAAAGGGGAACTGAGTTTAGTTCGATTGATTTCGACGGATTGGAGTAGATTTTGGCTGGACGGCGGTGATTCGTTGTTTTGATCGGCGGGTTTTTTCTTGTTTGCCAATCGGAGTTCTAGGTATGGATATTATTTCGAATGCCTGGAAGTTGCTTGATGAAATGCTTGACTGATATAATTTAGGTTGCGAAACGAATTTAGTTAAATTTGGCGTTTTTCTATTTTTTTTAATTATCATCTGGTAACAACATTGATCAACTTTTGTTCGATTTGTGAAGTGAAGGATGATGTTTTCAGTTTTCTTGTAAGAATATGTATTTGTTTGTTGGGCAAAATTTCTTATTCTTGTTTTATTTTGGTTCCAGAATTTATTGGTCTAGATGAAGAATTCCGAAAACACACGGGCACACGAAAGTGTGATCGCGAAACTAATGGGTTTCGATGAGGTGTTGCTCCCTCCTCAACAGCCTGTCCGTGAAAAACGGAGATTGTTGTCTGAAAATTACGTCCGAAAGGCTGCTTCCATAGGCTTACCACCTAGGAGTTTGCATGGAGTTCGGATATCTAAGAGCAAGAAAGATAACGTTGTTGACAAAGTCAAGAAGGTTAAAAGAAGCCCAAAATCATTATCGAGAGGTAACGATGAAGAAAGAAGATCGTGTGGCAAAAAAGGTGACGATTATGTTCGAAGAAATGTTTTGAGATATCTGCAAAAACTTGAGTATTATAGGCCTAAAGGTGACTTTGATGAGCTTCGTGTTAATTACATGATTGATAAGCCTTGCATTTTCTCGACTAGCATGAGTATATTCAAACCAAATTTGATGAGATTATTAGATAAACCGGAAGATTTGAAGTTGGATCGGCATTCCACGTATAAGCAACTAGTGAACAATGGTATTGTATCTACCAGACATAGTTGTATTGCCTGCACACGAACTATGAACAGAATCTGTCGACAAGAACAGGGTAGAAGCAAATTTTGGGAGGTGTCGTCGAAACCAGGAAACGTTAATGAATCTGAAAAGCAAAGTTCTGATTTGTTGACCAAAAAGTCTAAAAAAGTTGACGTTTGTCGGAGGCACCAATCTATTGATGAGATGCTTATTTTGGCTGATGAGAAATCGAGTGAAGGAGATAGCAAGTTGATGGAGCAAACAGTTTCGTATGCTGAATGTGTAGGTGATACTGCATATGCTAGTGCTGAATCATTTAACGGAGGTGTTTCTTCTAGAATCAGTGGCGGCCCCCACTCGAACTCAGAATATGCTCAAGAAGTTCTCAGCGAAGAGGTTTTCTCTTCCCCGAAAGCATTAATTTTGTTCTAATGGTTGCATTATTTAATTCTGTTCTTTTTTTCCATCTTATTTTTACAACATCATATCCTTCTTTGTGTTACAGGCATCGCTAGATGAATTATCCGATGAAAACTTGACTTATTCAAACCTGAAGAAAACCAGCCAGCATAGTCCCGACTCTGTTCTTGAGCCATGTGATATACAAAATTCTTCGAATTTTGAATACTTCGACCGCATAGGTAGTTATTTCGTTAAAATTACAGTCGTATTGAACTTTTACACACTTCTACCATTGTTATGCAACTTTATTCTTGCAACTGTTTAGGGCTGCAAATGCAACTTCAAGCTTTAAACATAGAGTCCGAAGAAACTTACTCCGAAGGATCGATTATGGCTGTATCAGATGAAGACGATTTTTTCGATGAATTTCGTGATCTCTCTCACGATGGCAGAAAGATTAAGAGGTGGCTCGGAGATGATTATCAAAGTAGGAATTATTCTTACATGATTGATGTGTTAGACGAATCCGGATTTTATGGTACGAAATTGTTAACGGATTTGAAATACCCGATATGCCCCTCGGTGTTCGATGCGTTAGAGAAAACATATGGCAAACAGACATCTTGGCAAAAGTGCGAAAGACAGCTGCTATTCGACTGTATAAACTCAGCCTTGAACTTTCGTTTCTCTGCAAGAAGACGATTCCGTCCCTGTTTGAAACGCGGTGAGGTTGAAGACGAGATATGGGGGGTGCTGACTAGGCAGGAAAAAGAAACGGGAAAAGATTTTTGCGATAAGGATTTAGAGAAATGGTTGGGGTTTGAAGAAGGTGTTGATATTGTCTGTACAGAGATGGAGAATTCTTTATTCGATGATTTGGTGATGGAGTTGGTTAGTTCGTCGGATTGATGAAACGAGTTTTTTTTTTTTTTTAATTTCCCGTCTCGTTTCCTTTCTACACTTAGTGGTGGATGTATGTAGTGTTTGTTGTCTAAGTATAAGGATCAGGGGAATGAATTAGCGTATACGTGTGTATATCAGCATATGTACGATTTTTGGTGTTTTGCGAGAACGAAAAAAGAATACGAAGATGAGTGAGAGTTGGTTTTTTTATACGATGAGTCGTGAATTCATATCTTGTTCGTCATCTTTAAATGTACTCAAAGAAGTATCGGGTAAAATATGACCTCACACTTGCGCGTTTTTTCACACATTCACGTGTGTGTGATTATGTGTAAATCCGTGGAAGATATGTTGGTCAGTGTATTTCGTCCGGTGCATGCATCACCTACAAGAGCCACTTAAAGAGTGTGAATTCAACAAAAAATAAATATCAACTCAATAATAAATATATTTAAAAAAAAAATGCCTCATCAAATAGTATTTATTTAACCAAATTTATAAAAGATTATAGATAAAAGAAAAAAAAAAAAAGGGTAGTGTTTACACTTTTACAAATTAAAGGCAAATAATGGTGGAATTCATCATTATTTTATTATTTTTTTTATTTTATTATTATTAAAAAAAAAATTCATTTTCATCCTTGAGAGAAGTGGCTACCGTATATTCTCTTTTTATTGAGTTGATAGAAATGCAAGATGGATTAATTCAACTATGTAATAATTTGGTATCCAACAATGCAATATTTAGTTGCCCACAAATTAAAGGCAAAGTGCAGTGGATATAATAAGTCTATGCACTTAAAACACTATTTCACTTATCCCTCTCTTCTTTATCCTCTCCATAAAAGTATTAATTTCAAAAAAAAATTATCTTTTAATAAAATATTAATATTAAAATATTTTTTTAATAATAAGTCAAAATATCGAATCTACAATACTCCAATTTATACCCGTTTTGATTCCCCACTGCGTCGTGCAGTCGTGCTCGTGGGGTTAATATTCCATAAATATGATTTATCAACTTGTGCCTCGTTTGGTTGTTATTAGTAAGTCATATTTACTAAATAATATCACTCTCTCACGCAATAAAAATTGAAGTCCAACCGTCCCTAAAATACTAGAAATTGCGAAAATCACATTTAATATCGGATTTTAAATGTTTTAATACTAGATCTAATACAAGAAATCGAGCATCTTACTAATTGACTATAATTAATTAGTCAACCGAGGATTATTTCAATCTAATATAATCCAAATTAATACGATTCATGTAACAAGAACGAGACTTCAAAAACTATTGTTGAATTTCGTATGGCTGGTTGTAGGTTTTGTAGATGCTATACACGGTGAAATACATCAGGTGACCGTGCATCATTAATTAATGATGCAAAATCAACCGATAATTTTTACTAGGTGTAACATCTCATGGACCGGTTGATAGAGGAATCTTTGATCATAATTTATGGACCGATGGTTATATTAGCAATTTACTTGATGACATTATCACGTGTGAAATTTTAGTGTGTGCACGACATATAAAAGGTTTATTAATAAATATTAATTATATTGTGAAATGCAATATTCCAAAGAACAATCATCAATTATGGAAGTGCTGGTGGTTGTATGAAATTATGCCTATTTAATTGATCGTCCACATTTCAAAAATTTGGGCCCCTTTGTAGAGTGACTCAAGTTTTGTCAATTACTACATTTAACACTTTGTCTGGAAATAAAATTTATTTCATGAAGACAACGATTATAAGTAAAATCCATTAAATTAATTAATTAATTGTAAGAAAATTATGAACTCACTAGAGAAACAAATTCATAAATATAATCACTATGATTATCCTAATAATTAGATATTTAGTAATTAATTATTATATATACTATTATTACAAGTATATTGCATAGCTAATATCCTAAAAATTAGATGAGACTGAGATATATATAAGTACTCAATAGTGTAGATATATACCTTAGTCGTCGTCGAAAAAAAAGGTTGTAATAACACCGTTTTCGAATAATTAATAACTCTATCGTCTGTTGTGAAGAGGGTTGGATCCCGTTGGAACTCTTCGTTTCTCCGAGTTGAAATCTTTATCCGTCGTTTGAGCATGATTTCTACCTCTGTCGGGGTGGAAAACATGCTCTTTGTGGTGGTGGTGGTGGTGGTGGTTTTTGGTGGAGTGGTGATGGCCGGAAAATAGGGCGATGGAGAGGGTTTTTGGGGTGGTTGAGAGGAGGAGAGTGGTGGTGAAGACGATGAAAACTAGGTGTAAACGAGTTGCCATGATTATGAAATATATTTTCTTTTGAGAGTTTTTGATGAGAGAGAATTTAGAGAGAGAGAGAGAGAGAGGGGTTCAATGTGGTAGCATTGTTATATAGTGTACATAATAATGACTATTATGTATTTGGCTCTTGGTTTTTTTGGTGATGATGATACTTTAATTTTCATCTGAAAAAGTTTTGTGTGTGTGACTTTAATTTGTCAATAAAATCTCATCATGTAGAATGAAATCAAGACCATTATATTTGCTCTCTCTCTCTCTCTCTCTCTCTCTCTCTCTCTCTCTCTCTCTCTCTCTCTCTCTATATATATATATATATATATATATATATATATATATATATATATATATATATATATATATATATTACTTAGAAAAGTCGAAATGTTGTTGACCCTTGAGTCGAGAAATTTGATGCGGACACAATACAATGTACGATAGATATACAAAATACAAGGGGTGACCTAGTTTGTGGAGTAAGTAGTACAGTGTTAGTTGACACGAATTTGAATCGCTTTGCACGTATTTTCTAGGTCGAGTCGTCAAACATAATTAACCTGTTATACTTGTTGTATATTTTATTTTTCTTCGTACGATTTGCGAGCTACACGAGGATAAAATTTACTCAGTACATTTCGAGAAAGAAAAGGTAACATGAAATTAGGAGTTGAGGATAAAATTTACTCAGTGCATTTCGAGGAGAAAAGTAACATGAAATCAGGAGTTGACTTTATTGTTAATGCTGTTATGAAAGTCAAACAGCAACGTTTCAAGAGCTGTGGTTGATACAAACATTAAACCTTGGAGTGGTGTCTAATCAAATATTCAATATTTGGTCTAATGGGATGAGCATTATTTTATAATAAATTACATCAAAACACAAACTAATTATGTTATTTTGGTTCAAACACTTAATAATATGATTTTAATAGTGGAATCTGATCAATCTAGAAGTTGTGCACTCGAGTGTAGAGGATTAAAGTTTCCCGTAACTAACGCCCGATGCTGAGGTGGAGCATGATGAATGGAGCAAGTGGAATCTTGCACGTCTGAGTCACAGTTTTTTCAGCAACTGTGGACACATACCCCAACGGGAATATTTAACAGAACAAAGTCTCGTCTCTTGAGAAGAATTCGGTTAGATGCCGATATACACACTAGAAGAAAGAGTTTCAAGAGAGAAGAAGTAAGAGAGGAAGTCATTGCTGCGAAAACTGTAAATTTGTAACGTTTTCCCGAATGAATCTTTTTATCTTGTAATATCTGAGTGTGTGACACCGTGAGGTGTTTTGTGAATCAATAACAAAGTTGCGCGCTCTCTAGGACAATTGTCCGAACCGCGTTACTGTTGGAAATTTTATTATTAATAAAAATAAAATTTTTTGAA